ACCTACCTACCTACCTACCTACCTACCTACCTACCTACCTACCTACCTACCTACCTACCTACCTACCTACCTACCTACCTACCTACCTACCTACCTACCTACCTACCTACCTACCTACCTACCTACCTACCTACCTACCTACCTACCTACCTACCTACCTACCTACCTACCTACCTACCTACCTACCTACCTACCTACCTACCTACCTACCTACCTACCTACCTACCTACCTACCTACCTACCTACCTACCTACCTACCTACCTACCTACCTACCTACCTACCTACCTACCTACCTACCTACCTACCTACCTACCTACCTACCTACCTACCTACCTACCTACCTACCTACCTACCTACCTACCTACCTACCTACCTACCTACCTACCTACCTACCTACCTACCTACCTACCTACCTACCTACCTACCTACCTACCTACCTACCTACCTACCTACCTACCTACCTACCTACCTACCTACCTACCTACCTACCTACCTACCTACCTACCTACCTACCTACCTACCTACCTACCTACCTACCTACCTACCTACCTACCTACCTACCTACCTACCTACCTACCTACCTACCTACCTACCTACCTACCTACCTACCTACCTACCTACCTACCTACCTACCTACCTACCTACCTACCTACCTACCTACCTACCTACCTACCTACCTACCTACCTACCTACCTACCTACCTACCTACCTACCTACCTACCTACCTACCTACCTACCTACCTACCTACCTACCTACCTACCTACCTACCTACCTACCTACCTACCTACCTACCTACCTACCTACCTACCTACCTACCTACCTACCTACCTACCTACCTACCTACCTACCTACCTACCTACCTACCTACCTACCTACCTACCTACCTACCTACCTACCTACCTACCTACCTACCTACCTACCTACCTACCTACCTACCTACCTACCTACCTACCTACCTACCTACCTACCTACCTACCTACCTACCTACCTACCTACCTACCTACCTACCTACCTACCTACCTACCTACCTACCTACCTACCTACCTACCTACCTACCTACCTACCTACCTACCTACCTACCTACCTACCTACCTACCTACCTACCTACCTACCTACCTACCTACCTACCTACCTACCTACCTACCTACCTACCTACCTACCTACCTACCTACCTACCTACCTACCTACCTACCTACCTACCTACCTACCTACCTACCTACCTACCTACCTACCTACCTACCTACCTACCTACCTACCTACCTACCTACCTACCTACCTACCTACCTACCTACCTACCTACCTACCTACCTACCTACCTACCTACCTACCTACCTACCTACCTACCTACCTACCTAACTACCTACCTACCTAACTACCTACCTACCTACCTACCCACCCACCTACCTTATTATTCCTACCTTATTATTCCTACCTTATTATTCACGTCTTATGTTTTATTTTTCATTCGCTCACTAAAAAATAATTATGATATTTCCAAATACTTTACGATTTTCACAATTGTTTTCGGTTTCTCTTGTTACTTCCTACTTGAGTATAGTATTATAGTTTTCGACACTGATAAATCAAATTTCATTAATGCATACTAGCACAAATTAAACTGATTTAAAGATCAGTAATCTATCGTAATATATTTAAATTAATCAACGTTTACAAGTTTTAATACTTAGATATGTATTTGTTCATTGACATCTTTGTTTTGAAAGAAAGGAACAGAAAATATGTTACTTGAGTAGAACATTAAAATATGTACTTGCGTAGAAAAAATATGTTGTTTAAAAATAAATGTACAAAGCTATTTAAATTTAAAGACTTTACAGATTTGATATACATATTCAAATTTAGAAATAAAAACACATCATTATGCAAACGAAAATCAATAACTAAGTTTTTCAACATGCTTACAATATAAAAAGAAAATGTCGTTTTATGGAAACAGAATAAAAGTTAAATACGTTTTATTGCGCTTATTTCTAGCTTTATTAATACGCTTATTTGTATTTACAGAAGGTTCCAACAAACTTATTTTTTAAGTAGGACAGGATTGGATGTTCCTCTGATACGGGCCTATTTATGAATCTATTATTAACAAGTGTTTCACTGGTATTTGAGGTTAATTATACGGAACGTGTGCGCTTACTAAGTCTGCTTGTAGATTCATGAACACTTAACTTGAAAAACAATTATAGTGAAGGTTTGACTACTTATTGTTTCGTGTATGTCTGTAATGACTAATATATATTTATACCAAACCTTTTGTAATTAAAAGATTTCATATAGAAAGTTGCTAGTTTTCTTTAAAAAATATAAATTATATATAATATGAATTAATTATCTTATTTTATGTGATTAGAACATTACATAAGAAAACTGAAAAAAACTCATGTAAGTATCGGTCTTACCATGAATATACATGTGTGTGTATTGTTTAAAGTGTATTTTTAAGCTTAATCCCAAGATAATTATTATAATTTATTAACTTTCCAATTATAATTTAATTTTTTTTAATTCTTTGCATTGTAACCGTTAATGCGCCTGTTCCTAATTAATGAAACACTTGTCTATATGTATATAAATAAAAGTATATCGGAGTGTTCAGTATGGAAATCTAAACGCTTGAATGGATCGGGCTATGTTTAGATGTTTGTGGTTGAGGTTGATATTGGGGTAACGATTGGTTTATAACTGTAATTACACTAATGTTTATGTTTGTTTTTGTTTTTGTGCGATTGTGTTTTGAGGCTACAGTAAGGTTTATGTCCCTGTTTGAGTTTCTGTTTACATGGTTGTTATTTTATTCGTACATGTGCGAAGAGGGCCAAGGGTTTATATATATATATATATATTTATGTGGTTGAGGTTGTGGTGAGGATTAGTTTATGATTTCGTTTATGTTTATGTTTGAGGTTGTAGTGAGGTTTCGGGTTTATTAATGTTTGTTTTTATGTTTCTGTTTGTGTTTATATTTGTGTGTATGTGATTGTTTTTTAGACGTAGAAGTGGGATGAGGGGAGATGGTGTATGTGTCATTGCGTAGATATATATATAATTAGATTAGACTAGTAGAGATTACTATGGACGGTGCGAAATTGACGGTAGACGATTTGGTGCGAGAGTATTGTGCGCGTGTTCAATAAAAGATGTGTTGCGTGAGTGTGACGTGAGCATGACGCGACAATGTACCGATGACGTAGGATGTGGTAGAAGATGTAGTAGAAGACGGACGTATTCTTTGATATTGTGTTAACGATCTATAAGTGTGTGATAATAAAGTTATTGTCATTTCATAAACGAAGTTGTTGACATTGTTAATTAGTGTCTGCGTAAAATAAGAGTGATTCCCGTCCTCCTTCACAAGTGTAATAGTTGCTGTATTAATAGCAGTAGATTAGAATATATAGATGATATACATAAACCCCTTATCACAGTATGTCTATGTCTAAGTTCGTTTATGTTTGTGGTTAGGGTTAGGTTTGGATTTAGATTGAATGTTAATTATGTTTGCATATAATTGGGAATTTAATACACTCTCAAGATGTGGGCAGCGACAGGTATACGATGCTGAATAAACACACAAGACACTGACCTTTACAAAAATATTTTTTACAAAAGCCAGTGCAGAGTCTGGCCGGAACGGCGTGTGCTATATACTATTTTCATGTTTCAAACTACTTAAAGTTTGATTACACAGAAGTCACATTGATCAAATTTGTAACTACTATATTTAGGTAGCACAAAGTATCGAATGAATAAATAAAGTATGCCATATTTAGATCTTGTATGAAAGCTCTTTGAAATTACAACACTTTCTTCGCCAGGACATTCCGCATTCTGTTTTAAAAAACCCTATTCAAAAGTCACGTGATCTAATGTATCCTAACTTGTACAGCTATTCATACTTTTCATACCTCTAATCCTATTAAATATAAGCTAACGACAACGTGAATACACATATTTAATAAAGATTGATATCGATTTTCATAAAATTCGATGATGATGAAATGAATGAAGAGTTAAGATTACAAAAGAGAGTAGAACGTGAAGGAAAACAAACTAGCCTGAGAAGTTGTGTCAAATGACTTTGATTAAAAAAATAACTAGTATACAGTATGTTTAGTATATAAAATAAATAAAAAGTAGTATTTAAAATACATACCTACCACATGGCACTTGATTAATCCACGCTAATTATGTTGTTATTTTTTTCACATTACCAAAACAAAGTAATAAAAAGTAAATCCCCCCACCATGTAACGGTTTTTGTAAGGGGAAGTAATTGTGCATTCCTAATTTATCAAGGGACGTAACGAGTGCTAAAGAACTAAATGTAAATAATTTTCAGACATAATTTGAACTTTTATGAAAGTTTAGGCATTTTTTTTTAAATTTTGTTTGATGGACATGCTGAAAATTATTATTAGAAGTTTGAAAAATGAAAACTGTTTTACACCTTCAATATTAATTTTTAATATCATTAACTTTGACGATGAGCACTTTAGACATATAACACAATTTTATTGAAGTCTATTATTTTCTTATATGTCTCTGTATTTAGCGGTCCACTACATACATACAAAATTAAACTGTATATATTAGATTTCACTCAATATTTCAGGAGTCTGAGGCAGGGGTCGGCAACCTTTTGAAGCGGAAGAGCCAAAAGTTACAATTTTCAAAATTTCCATGGTTTTAAAGAGCCACTAACATTTTTTTATTTCAAATATTTAATTTTTTATTAAGATTATTAGTATTTGTTTAAGGAGCTGGAGAGCCGCATCTTGATATCAAAAGAGCCGCATGCGGCTCGCGAGCCGCAGGTTGCCGACCCCTGGTCTGAGCCAAAAAAAAATTTAAAAAATTCAGGTGTTGGTAAATCCTTAACATTTGGTAAAGACTTGCGTTCATTAATTAATTACGTTTACTCTTTCCCACTTTCTAAAACATACCAGTTCCAATATACAATTTATTCAACCATTTACTTGATGTGGAATAGAAAACTACGTTCTAGACCCAGCATTTTTGTTCGTATATATTGTGAATGAGATGACGAAGTTCAAGTGTGAGGCAATCAGAAAGCTCCTTTAATTTTTGTCAAACTTGCTGTCGCCCAGTCAGCGGTAACTAAATATGAGGTCTACTTCATCGTACGTTTCTTACGTCAAAACACTGAACTTTGTATCCAGATTTGACTGCGAGACATCCTAAATCCTAAGTTCAGAGTAGGAAACAGAAACAAAAAATAAAGCCAATTCAAATATATATTCACGTTAGATTTAACCAAGTTTATTCTTTATTTCTTTTACTCACATCGGAAAAAGATACAATTTAAAATAGAATTCCAACATATACAATCCCATGTGCACACTTCACTCTCTGTCTCAACCTATTTCTATGTTCCTCACATATTTTCCGAGGCTGTGAACAGTGTTTTTCCCAGACTTTTTTTCTCCGGGGTGGGCATTTAAAAATTTCAATGAAGGGTGAGGTGTAAACGCTGTTAAAAGTGTATATTTTCTATATAAATTCTATTTCCTTCGAAGGGGTGGTAGACTTTCATCGAAAGGACCGAGCCCCCCCCCCCCCGAACGAAGAGATACGTGGAAGAAACTATAGCTGTGAAATTAGCATCTTCATCAAAATATGGAAAACTCAAAGATACCGATTTGTTGTTGAATATAATATGTTGGATGTATTAAATGTATAAACTAAATTTTATTTAAGACGAAGAATAAAAGAATATTCAAATAAAGAAACAAGTCTTTAGGTTTGATTGTAACAAGAAAGCTATAGAGAACACATAAGTAATAAGAAACTATCACGGTCTAAGAGAATAAGGTTATATGAAACAAACAGAAAAGTATAATGAACTAATGTTAATAAAATGTTTAAACAACGAAAGCACACAACACTAATGGCATCATTAATTTTTGGATAAAAATTAGAAATCAAAATCAATTGTCAAAGATATGACACAATAAGATTTGCTTCCAACATTAGAATGTGAAGAAATGAACAATGTCATTCAAAGTTAATTTAGGCCAATAATTGAAATGTAAATGGTACATTAACGCTTTACAATAACATACTTTCTTTTATAAAGCAGACAACCAACTTACGGAACATCAGTTTACATTCTATACACCACAAGTTTATAACAATTATTAGTCCACAAACAACGAACTATAATTTAATCCACCAGAGTTAGGGTTAGCTCCACTGTGGGAATGGTAAGACCCCCACTCGAACCCCAGTTTGTACACCACAGCCCCACTGCTACCGGGACAGGTGCACGTTGTGTACGTGTACCTGGTCCGGCTATCCAATCCCACCACCTGCCTATGTACCCAGAGACCTACAGAGACCTGCTTAGAACAGCCATGAGGATGTGACACTATAATCGCCAGCTTATCCACATCTCTACGACTCTTGTATTTGTGACTTAATTTATCCCATAAACCCTTAAACTTCCCAACCATATCCTCTAGTTTAACGGCTACATCTAAGTCGTGTGTCACACAATCCAATTGACACCAGTCTTGCTCAGCGTCTGAATAACCCGCCAGCCACCCATAAATCTTGACCACTGGACTTATATCATCATCGAACCACAACCTACAGCTGGACTGTCTCGCCTCACTCGCATCAAAAATCACATGTCTGACTGTCACCACACCAATTCGCCACCAAACTTTGCTGGGTGTGTGCGAATGGTCACATTCAGGACATGGACAAGTTCTGTAGGTTCTTGAAATGTTGGGATCTCCCTCTGTGTACTTTGTCACCTGCCATATCATCGCAGTGCCTGTATGCAGTAAGTTCTGTGCCCTGGTGTTGTAGCAAGGATATGGATATTTGGTGCCTGGTAAAAACTCTGGTCTGTCTGGACTGGTGAACTTAACGGCTACCCTGACAGTTAAATCAGCCAGGGCTTTTGTGAGGTTAAAAACGTCGTTATCATGGTAACCAGGAGGAAAATGTTCAAGATTTAACTGATTTACGGGTATAAAATTTTTGTGCCCAGGATTTTTTTCACAGTTTGCCAGGTGTTTGTGTAGATCTAACTCAGATTGACCTTCAAGACATTCTTGTACTTCATGTGTGCCTGCATAGGATAAAAAATAAACTTTATTACTTTTAACGTTTCATTAACTGCTAAAATTTTACAAACTTAAAATTTGACAAGTATTTACAAAATCCAATTGGCACAACCGTCTACCATCACCATCATGCAATAAAGAAAAAAAAACTACAGAATGTTTTAATACGTCATCAGCATTAATCAAAAGGCAGCCTCATTATTGTGGTTTGTATCTATATATGTTATAGCCACATGGAATTTTCGCACCCTGTATTAGATCGGGTACTTGCATTTAAGTTCCAGAAAGTTCTCTTTCTAAACAATGCATATCATTTGTATCGCAACAGTAGAAGAATAGCTATTTCAATAGATGATTTTAAACGAAAAAAAAATCACATATGC